AGAAAGAAAGAAAGAAAGAAAGAAAGAAAGAAAGAAAGAAAGAAAGGCTTCATAGTTTTAACAAAGGAGGACCATTCCCACAACAAAATCCTCTTTGTCATTAAGAGACTATCTTGAGAATACCTTGAATTCACCTGAGTTGGAGCTAACTCTTCATGGTACACCTAAAGAACAAATCCCAACTCTCATGACTTTTACAATTTAAAATAAAAAGGCTGGGGCTGGAGAGATGGCTCAGTGGTTAAGAACACTGAATATTCTTGCAGAAGACACGGATTTGAATCCCAGCACCCACATGGCAGTTAACAACTGTCTGTAACTCCAGTTCCAGGGGATCTGACAGCCTCTTCTGTCCTCCGCAGGCATTGTATGACATGGGTGTGCTTACCTACATGCAGGCAATGCATGCATACACATAAAAATAATAAATACTTTTTAAAAATAGAAAGGCTAAACCTGGTGTATTGGTACATGCCTGTAAGTCCATCTCTTAGAAAGTAAAGACGGAGATCAGGAATGTGAGGTCAGCATCAGCTACATGGAGAGTTCAAGGCAAGCCTGGGCTATAGGAGACTCAAAAAAAAAAAAAACCAAAAAACAAAAAAAAACGGGCTGGAGAGATGGCTCAGCGGTTAAGAGCACTGATTGCTCTTGCAGAGGACCCAGGTTGGATTCCCAGCACCACATGGCGGCTACAAACCGTCCTTAACTCCAGTTCCAGGGGAATCCGAAGCCCTCTTCTGACTTCCGCAGCATTGCATGACATGGGTGCACTCACATACATGCAGGCAATACACTCATGCACATAAAATAATAAAATATTTTTTTAAAAAATCATCACCGGTCTGGGTGTGGTGGCGCACACCTTTAATCTCAGCCCTCGGGAGGCAAAGGCAGGTGGAGCTCTGTGAGTTCAAGACCGGCCTGATCTACATAATGAGTTCCAGGACAGCTGGGGCTACAGGGAGACCCTGTCTCAAAAAGACCAAAAAAAAAAAAAAAAAAAAATCATCATCATAATAGAAATAGAAAGAACGGGGCTGGAGAGAGCTCAGTAGTTAAGAGCACTGACTGCTCTTGCAGAAGACCCCGGTTGGATTCCCAGCACCCACATGGTGGTTAGAAACCATCCTTAACTCCAGTTCCAGGGGAATCCGAAGCCCTCTTCTGACCTCCATGGCATTGCACAACAGGGGTGCACTCATATACATGCAGGCAATACACTCATACATATAAAATAAAAATAATAAATAAAATATTTTTTAAAAAGAAAAGAAAAATAGAACAAGAGTGATTCCTTTCCCTGAATACCCCAGTTCCAGTTCCAAGCCCCTTCATCCATGCTGTGACCCTTTCTGTTGTTAGCGACAGCCCTCTTTTCCCCATCATCTCTACCAACCATACTAGTCCCTTTCCTGAGTCTTTGTTTTCTTCAATTCTTTTATTCACACTGTTTTTAGATTTCTTTTTACATTTATTTGTTTCTCTGTGTGTGCACTCGTGCAAATGTGCACATGCATGTGAGTGCACACATGCCACAGTGTGGCATTTTTGAGAGTTGGTTCTCTGCTTCCACCTTCATGTAGGTTCCAGGTTGTCAGGCTTGCTCGCAAAAACCTTTACCTACTGAGCTATCTCACTGGCCATACTGTTGTTTTTTTTTTGTTGTTGTTGTTATTATTTATTATTATTATTATTATTCAAATTATAGAGCTGAGCATAGTGTTGCATGCCTGTAATCCCAGCACTTTGGGAGGTGGAAGCAAGATAATCAGGAGTTCAAGGTCATCCTCAGCTACATAGTGAGCAGCCTTTGCTACTTGAGAGACCCTATCTCACCCCACCCCAAAATCAAACTGTGCTTTGGTTTTCCTTTACATCTGCCATCTGTGCAGAAATGAAATGTCGGGATCTATACAAAGCTTATAGTTAATAAGCAGTTCAAGATATCTGTGCAGATGGAACCAGAGGCAGACTATGAATGGCTTCTCACTCGAACTCAACTCTAGGGCATTCTACTCATGGTATGGCATAAGGAAACCCCAGCAAATCAGGCTGAACAAAGCTTATGCAGTGGCCAAACAGGAAAATAAATGTGCTAATAAATGCCCAAGCAAATAAGCAACAAATGTCTATTGAGATTTGGTCTCAGGTATCCCAGGCTAGCCTTGAACTCACTATGTGCCAAGGATAACACTGAACTTCTGATTCTTCTCCTTCCATCTCCCAAGAACTGGGATTACAGGAATTGACCACCACACCCAGTTTATGCAGAGCTGAGGATCAGACCCAGGACTTCATGCATGCTAGGCAAGCACTGTACCAACTAAGGTACATTCTCAGCATGCAACAAAGATTCTAAGCCTTGGAGACAGCTTAGTATTGCCTTGCAAGCATGAGGACTTGAGTTTGATCTCTAGGGCCCAAGTGAAAATAAATTGGGCGTGGTAATGTGTGCTTGTTATCTCAGTACTGGGAAGGCAGAGGTAGGGAGATTCCTTAGGGCTCACTAGTCAGCCAGCCTAGCCTAATTGGCAGGTTCCAGGTCAATGAGAGACCCTGTCTCAAAAACAAGGTGAACAGCTCCTGAGGAAAAACCCTGAGGTTGTTCTTGGGCCTCCATGGGCACTCCCCACACACACACGCGCACACACACACACACACACACACACACACACACACACACAAAGATATTCTGAACATAAGTTTCTGTCATGGTTAATTCCACTCTGTTGTACTGCCAGAACAAGAGTAAACCCTAAAACCAGCAACAATAGTCTGCATGTTGCCATCAGCCTAAGTTATAGTTATACACCATAGAGCGTCTCAGAAGTCAGTTCAGGTGTTCTAGAAGTTGAGAAGTTTCAGGGTTCTGCTCTCTCCTTCCCAGAGGAATGGTGATGGCTTCTTTGAAGCTGAGGCAGTAGCGAAACCATCCAGGCGGCCCTGAGTGAGTTCTTCCTCCCGTCTCTCTGCAGGTGGTAACTTTTGATGCACGGGGAGTCAGTGGTCACAGCAATCACATTGCTTTGTACACAGCCGTGAGGTATGATTCTCTGGGTGATGGAGGTGGGAGAGGGGCTGTCCATTTGCTCAGGGGTCACAGTTACTAAAACACCTTCCTCCTGGTCAGCTGAGCCCCAGGAAACTTTCTACTGTTACCATGTGGCTCTTGTTGGCCCTGTTGCTCACATCTTACCACATCCTCTTTGTGAGAATGCTCTCACAAGTCCTAGGAATGATTGCCTCCCAAGCAGATAATTTTTAATATTTTTATTTTTAGGGGTCTTTTTTCAGATTTTTTTTCTTTAGTTAGCATTATATAGGCATATTATTTTTAAACTTTTATTATCATATACATAATAATGGATTTCAGCATGACTTTAAAATTTTTTAATTGAATTTTTATGTATTTCATACAGAACATCTCAATCTTAATCACCTTTATACCCCCTTACCCACTGGCACCCTCCTATAGGCCCCCCCCACTGGAATTCATACATTCTGTCATTTGTGTTAAGGCCTATTGTCTCAAGTTAGTGTTCCCAGACATTCCTCAGTGCAAATTCATCTACTGAGGTCTACTCAGCCTATCTAGAGTCCCTCACTTTAGGAAGATCGGCTCTCCCTCACCCAGCAGTAATCAGTTGCCAATATTTCTTCAGCTAAGATTAGGGCCTGCTATCCATTTCCCCAGTTCTATGCTGAGTTTTTGTCTGCTTGAGTTTGCATGGGTCTTGTGCATCCTGATACCATTGTTGTAGTTTCATATGTACAAGGTCCCAGGAGCTTGTAGGACTTTATTTCCATATAGTCCTGCACCTCCTCCTTGCTCTTACAATCTTTCTGCCCCCTCTTCCACAATGATCTCTGATCCCTGGGTGGGTGAAGTTTAATATAGGAGTCTGGACCAAGGACCACATCATGACATTTTCATACATGTATATATTTTGATCATATTCATCCCATTGACCTCTTTTGCCCCCCTCTCATTTCCTCTGCCTCCTTCCCCTTCCCAACTAGTTTTCTTTCTTTCTTTTTTGGGGGAGGGTTGACCCAATCACTTTCATCAGGGTTACTTACAGGAGCATGAACACCTTACCAGTGGCCACACCACTGAAGAGAATATCTCCCTCTCCCAGCAACCAAGAGGGATGGGTCTTTTCTGTTTGTTTTTGGTTTTTGGTCTTTTTTGCAACAGGGTCTCCCTGTAGCCCCAGCTGACCTGGAACTTACTATGTAGATCAGGCTGGACTTGAACTCACCCGCTTCTGCCTCCCGAGTGCTGGGTTTAAAGGCGTGCTTCACCACGCCTGGCCATGGGGTTTTTTGTTTGTTTTTTAATGTAGTTTTTTTTCTTTTATTTATTATTTTTATTTTATGTGTATGAGTGTATTGCCTGCATGTATGTAAGTACACCCTTGTCATGAGATACCTGCAGAGATCAGAACAGGGTGTCAGATTCCCCTAGAACTGGAGTTACGGACGGTTGTTAGCCACTGTGTGGGTGTTTGGGATCAAACCTGGGTTCTCTACAAGAGCAGCCAGTGCTTTTAACAAGCATGCCATCTCTCCAGCCCCCACACACTTTTTGTTTTTGAGGTAGGGTCTTCCTGTGTAGTCCTGGCTGTTCTAGAACTTGCTGGGTAGACCAGACTGACTCAAACTTGTAATGTTCCTCATGCCTCTGCCTCCTGAGCACTGGGATTACAGGTGTGCACCACCATACCCAGCTTAAAAGCTGAATTTTATTTTTATCCCCTGGATAAATTGGGTAAGTGATTTTATCTCCATCCTTACTTTGGCCACAGAAACATGCAAGACCAAATTTACAAACTTGTAGGAGTAGATTCTATGGCTCTGTGTACCCAGTTCTGTCTTCCTTCTCACTCACTTTGTATGTTCCATTACAGATGTTGTAGACTTTCCAGTCTTTCTCTGGAGAAGATATATTTATATAATATGAAATCCCAGTTCTTATGCTGGGTGTGCTCATAATCCCAGAATTTGGGATACTGAGGAAGATTTGAAATTTCAGGCCAATCTATGCTATATAGCAATGGCCATCTCAAAAAGCATGTTTTTAGAACCATCCTATTTTACTGATATTCATGTTCATTTTACCACTGAAACCAAAAATGGAACCTCAAAGATGTTCAGTGATTTAGCATCAAACGAACACAGACCACATTCCCTGCCCTCCAGTGAAGCAGTCTGCTGGGACTTGGATCAGCAGTGTGCTGGGCCTGGCCTAGCTACTGAGGAAGGAAAGGGGCAGTTTTCCAGCACCCCATCCAACAGCCCAAGGCTTTAGAATAATCAGGTGGCTGGGAAGTCCTCTCCTTGGATGCTTTACTTTTCTATTACCACCACAAAAATGTGTACCTTTGACTGTAATGTGGGGTGTGCCATTCTTGAATATGAGTGGACCTAATGCAACTAACAACACATTATTATACCTGTGGAAATGGCCATTAGGTGCTCCTGGCAAATTTTAAGTGAACCAATCACAGCCAAATTGGCATAAATAGGCATAAATGCATATTTTCATGCAAAGATACAAGGAAAAGTGAAGCATCCCAAGAGTGGATTTTCTAGCCACTTGATTCTAAGGCCTTGAGCTGTAAGACCCGGCTGTTCCACTAGAAAAGGAACAGGGCTCTGCCTCGTTCCAGGTACACCCTGAGCTTTGTGACTTTGTACCCAGGTATTCAACTGCACCAGAGAAAGAATCAGCTCAGTCTACTGAAAACTAACCAGGAGCACCTAAGCAGGCAGGTGGCCAGGGCACTTGAGGTAGACTTGGTGGTTCAACCCCTGCTCTAGTCACCACTGAAAGGGGGCACAGGGAAGGCTTTGTTCAGGGCAGAGAACACCGGGCTGCAACTGTTTGCAGACCTGCCTATGACCATTTTCTTCAGAAGATACTGGAGTGCCAGAGGCTCTCAAAATTTTTGAGTTCTCTCTCTACACTAAAGTGGGCTACTGCACTTCAGCTAAAGCAATATGTGGACATACCCACCATCTGCTAAAACATTCTCCACTCTCTCTTCCAGCTAAATCCATCAGACTCATTTTCATCCTCACCTATGGCGTTTGTTCCTGTCACTTATCAAAATGCTGCTTTGACTTGCTGGTACTGGCTGGTCCTCCCATCTCTAGTCTCTCTTGCCACCTCTCATCCTCTTCCTGGTTTTCTTCTCCTTCAAGGACCCTCAGTGTCCTTGTCTCCAGGGTTCCCTTCCCATACCTGTTCAGTACTGTTCCTCCAAAGCTGTGAGGTTTGTATGATTCTCAGGTGTGTGCTTCTAATACTTCTGTCCTGGTATACTGTTCTAGTTTGTGTCTCAATTGCTGTGACAAAATACTCTGACCAGTACCAACTTGGGGAGGAAAGGGTTTATTTTATCTTACATCTCCCAGGTCACAGTTCATCAGGGAAGCCAAGATAGGCACTCAGGACAGGAACCTAGAAGCAGGGGCTGGAGCACAGACCACGGAGGAATGCTGCTTACTGGCTTGCTCCCCTGGCCCCTGCTCAGCCTGCTTTCTTATATAACATAGGCCTACCTGCCCAGGGGTGGCACCACCCACAGTGGGCTGGACCCTCCCACATCACACAACAATCAAGAAGATGCCCCACAGACATGGTCACAGGCCAGTCCTATGGAAGCAGTTCCCCAATTGAGGCTCCCTCAACCCAAGTGTGTCAAGTTGACTAAAGCTATCCAGCACATATATGATAGGTAAAAATTTGTGGGAGAACGATCGAATGGAAGATGAGGCACCGAGACACAGGTAAAACTCTTAGGGGGATAGAGCTTTATTTCGCACGGGACACATTCCCCTCGGGGAAGTGAAAATGTCAGCCCATGGGTTGTGAGCTGGGGCTTATATATGGGAGCTTCAGGTGCAGAAGGGGGGGTGGGAAAAATCAAGCGGGGAGCAGGAAAAGCAGGGCTTGTAAACCTGGCTCCATTCTGTCTGCCAGCCAGGATCTGGGTCAGGAAGTGTTTATTTTTTTGTCCTCTTAAGATAAAGGAAAAGCTGCTGTGCTAAACAGCTCCTAAAATTTCTGATTAACAGGCAGGATCTGCTTATCTTGTCTTTGGAGATCAGAGGAAAGGCAGGCTGCCTCTTAGAAGAATCTTCTTCCCTTGACTTCAAAGGCCAAGGTGCTTATCGTCTCAGTTCCCTTTTTCAGGCTTGAAAATCCAAAGTCCACGGGTCCCTGTTGAGGAGTGGGGGAAGCTGCTGCTGTTTGAAACCCTAATAAGATACCCACCTCAAAGTCAGACTATCCACAGGGCTCTACCCAGAGTGCAGGATAAGCCATCTCCTTCTCAGGGTCCCAGAAACCAACGTTTTCCCCCCTTCCTTCCTTCCTTCCTTCCTTCCTTCCTTCCTTCCTTCCTTCCTTCCTTCCTTCCTTCCTCTCTCTCTTTCTTTCTTTTCCTCCTTCCTTTCCTTTCTTCCTTCTTCCTTCCCTTCCTTCCTCCTTCCTTCCTTCCTTCCTTCCTTCCTTCCTTCCTTCCTTCCACCTTCCCTTCCTTTCCTCCCTCCCTCCCTCCCTTCCTCCCTCCCTCCTCTTTCCTTTTCTTTCCTCCCCTCCCCCTCCTTCCTCCTCTCCTTTCCTTCTCTTTCCTTTCCTTTCCTTTTTAGGACAGGCTCTCCCTGTAGCCCCACATCTGGTTCAGAACTTGCTATGTAGACCAGGCTGGCCTCAATCCTACAGAGACCTGCCTGTCTCTGCCTCCCCAGTGCTGGGATTAAAGGTGTGTGACAGCATGCCCAGCAATCTCAGAAACCAATTTCATGAATTTTTCTGCTCCTCAGGGTGTGACAGGAAGTCAGTTTCATGAGTTTATCAACTCTCTCTCAATTTCTCCCATCTAACTCCTGCTCCAAGAGTCCCTATTCATATATGTGTGCATGTGTAGACAGGCTACTCACCCCTCCTTCTTTGTCTGCTTTTTCAACACAGCAGGAAGCATTCCAATCATTAATGTTGGACTTACCCCATCCTTCCTTTCAGGGCAGTGAGCTCAGAAGGTGGGAGTGAGGGAGGTCAGTAGAAAAAAGGAAATATCAGGGAAGAAACATCAACTAACATTTAAAAAAATTTTTTTTAATTTTTTATTTTATGTGTATGTGTGTATTGCCTGCATGTAAGTAAGTGCACCTGTGTCGTGCAGTGCCTGCAGAGATCAGAAGAGCCTGTCGGATCCCCTGGGACTAGAGTCACAGACAGTTGTTAGCTGCCACGTGGGTGCTGGGATTCGAACCCCGGTATTCTACAAGAACAACCAGTGTTCTTAACTGCTGAGCCATCTCTCCAGCCCCTAAAATATTTTTTTTAACCATACTCGCATAGTTTCAAGAAGAAAAAACATTTTTTTTGGTCTTTTTGAGACAGGGTCTCCCTATAGCCCCAGCTGGCCTGGAACTCGGTATGTAGACCAGGCTGGCCTCGATCTCACAGAGATCCACTTGCTTCTACCTCCGGAGTCCTGGAATTAAAGGCATGTGCTACCATGCCTAGCTTCAAGAGAAAATTTTTGAATGATCCAAGATAGTTCTTTCATCTCTAATGGGAAAAACTTGAGCCAGATTGTTCCATAAGCCATAGACCAGCTTATGAATTAGCTGTCTGTAGATGAAATGCCCACTCTGGTCCTTTCAGTGGTAGCCAGAAGTATAGAATTCTGGGAATTTGGATGGTGATTTGTACTGTAGAAGCCCTGGAGAGCCTGGCTGTGTGTGGTATGGGCTAGAGCCCTGCAGGCCTTCCTCTGAAGCCCCTCCTGTTATACAAAGGAGCAGGCCACTGCTACCCTCTCATGCTTGTCATCTCCCTCCTCCAGGGCACTGCACTCAGAACGGAAGTTGCCTAAAGGTAAGGCTGTTCCTTTTGCAACTAGTTACTATCCCTCTAAGAAACTTCTTGGGGAAATTTACATGTATAGTTGGCCCCTCATATATATGGGTTTGTATCTATGGATTTAACAGCCAGATCAAAATTATACTAGGGTCAAAAAATAGCACCTGTACTGAATATGTGGAGATTCTTTTTTCCTTATTAGTCCACCAGTAATATAATGTAACAGTTATTTCCATAGCATTTACATTGTATTAGGGAGATGTCTTAAGGTATACAGGAGAATATGGGTAGGTTCTATGTAAATACTGTCATTTATAAGCAAGACCTGAGCATCTATAATTGTAGTATCTACGGGAGCCCTGGGGTACTAAGGGACACCTATATACACAAAGAGACCCTAGCTGTGCAAGGGTTGGAAGGCAGCCACTCTTCTCACTCAGTTGGGGGTGCTTGTCAGGTTCAGATTGTATCCATTGCCCAGTGCCCTGTCTGGTTTTCTCACAGCATAGGCAGTTCTTTTCCACACTGGTATTTTCTTAGTCTGTTTATCCAAACCCCCACCTCCCACCACCCAATTAATTAACCAGGTTATAAGTGCCTGCCAAGTACCTGGTGGACTGATGTGCTTGCAATAGGAAGTCTCCCTAATCCCCTAGAAAGGCCTAGTCCCTTGCTGGCCATTTGCTGCAGGACATCCTATTTTACTTCTCTGAGCTAGTTTCTGATCTGTCCTACCTCAGAAGGTAACGTGAGATCCAATAAATGAAAACATAAGTAGTATGTGCCCTTTTCTGCATGGGCTTACCTATTTATAAGCTGTCAGGACTTTGGAGCATGGCTATATTCCATTTGATTCTTAAATCTATCCTGACATGGCAGGCCCTACACTATCAATACTATTTTATCAACTAGAAAGCAGAGGTGCAGAGAAGTTAAGGGACTTTGCATGTCAATTTTTTATTTTTATTTATTTTTTTAATATTTTATTTATTTTTATTTATGTATATGTGTGTATTGCCTGCATGTAGGTAAGTGCACCTGTGTTGTGCAGTGCCCTGGGAGGACAGAAGAGGCTATCAGATCCCCTGGAACTGGAAGGACAGAAGAGGCTATCAGATCCCCTGGAACTGGAGTTACGGACAGTTGTTAGCTGCCATGTGGGTGCTGAGATTTGAACCCAGGTCTTCTGCAAGAACAGCCAGTGTTCTTAACCACTGAGTCATCTCTCCAGCCCCTATTTTTATTATTTTTAGAGACAGGGTCTTACTCTGAAGGCCTGCCCTGGAACTCACTATGTAACCCAGACTCACTTCAAATTCATGGCAGTTCACCTGCCTCTTCCTCTTGAGTGCTAGGATGATAGGTATGAGCCAACATCCCCAGCTCCTGTCAGAGCAGATCTAAAAACAGGTCTGTGGCCTCCCAACCCAGAACTTCTTGTGTCCATCATCTTGCCCTCACCCTTACAAAAGGTGGCCAGATTCCAACCTAAGCAGCCCACTTCCTCTTGCTAGGACACAGTGGGAGGAGGCCTCCTGTGGCCCTTTTATTCTTCCTGTCTGGGAGAATTCTGAACAAAGAGCAGCTTTGGTGCCATAAGGTACCTGGCAACTGAACAGTAACCACCCTGCCTTCCTTGAACCACTGGAAAGGGGATGCGGTGCTCAAGGGAACTCCTGGCTGGGAGCAGCAGAGCCCTTCATGTCTCCCTGTCCCCTTTTTACCCAGGGTGTTCAGTCCTCATGCTTCAGTCTGTGAATGTGCTGCGGAAGTATCTCTCCCTCCTGGATCTGCCCTGGTCTCTGCTGTATCCTCAGGATGTCCTCTTTGTGCTCACCAGGAAAGAAGTGGCACAGGCGAAGGTGAGGATTATAAATTCCTGGATAACCTCAGATCCCCTCAGATCCTCCTCAGATCGCTCCTCGAAACTCAGCTTCTGTGGAACACTTTCCAAGAAGCTCAGCATCTGCCCTGAGTGTTATACTATGCCAGCTAGACCTGAGAGGCATAAATTTTCAATGACTTCGACTTCTGTTCTGATTACAAAATTTTAGGAAACTCAGAAATACATAAAAGCATCAATAAAATAAAACTTTTATTTTATTGGAGAGATGGCTCAGTGGTTAAGAGCACTGACTGCTCTTGCAGAGGATCTGGGTTTGGTTCCCAGTACCATATGGCAGCTAACAACCATCTGTAATTCCAGTAACGGTATCCAATGCCCTCTTTTGGCCTCCACGGATATTTCATGCAATGGTGTACATACATACATTCAGGCACACATACATACACATAAAATAAATCTCAAAAAGAAAAAAATAAGCTGGCAGTGGGGCAGGTGATTCTGAGAACCATTAGAGTTCGGGGGGACTGTGAGTTGATGAGAATCACTCCAGACTGTCTTTAGATACAAGCTTTAGTAGACTGAGGTCCACCACATGAATGAAAACTGAGAGCTGATTTTTAGAACTGAAGATAATTTATATATATACACATACACACTTTTTTGCATAACTTTATTTTCTACAATAAATATTTATACCTACTAAGAAGTACTTTGCTAGCTGTTGAGACTCCATGTAGAGCAGAAATAATTCTCTATTGTTGCTTTCATAATTCATTAATTTGGGGGAGGGGGTTGAGACATAGTCTCATGTAACCTAAGCTGACCCTGAATGCCTGATCCTCCTGCCTCAGCCTCCCAAGTGGGATTACAGGCATTGATTATTACAGCCAGCTATTTTTTGTTTTTTATTATTTTGGTCTGGCTATAATCATGTATTTTTTAGATGGGTATGTGTGTGTGTGGTGTCCATGAGTGTGTTTGTGTGTGTTTATATATGTTTGAGTGCACATGTGTGTTGAAGGCCTAACATTGATTTGGGGAGTCTTGCTTGATTGCTTTATTTCACCAAAGCAGGGACTCTTAGCTGAACCCAGAGCCTGCCTATATTGCTAGGCTGGTTAGCCATCTTGCCCTGGGGATGTTTCTATCTGGAATTGTAGGCAGGCTATAAGGCCCGCCCAGAATTTGTGTAAATTCTAGGGATCGAAACTCTGATCCTCACACTTGCCCAACAGGAGCTTTAAACACTAAACCACCTCCACATCCCTCTATTCATGTTTTACTCTTTTCTAAATCTCTTAAACTAGAAAGATTAGCTTTTTAAAAATTGTCAGTCTTTAAAGAATACTATTAATTTTAGCTGGATGTGGTGGTGTACACCTTTAATCCCTGCACTCAGGAGGCAGAAGCAGACATATCTCTGTGAGTTGGGTGCCAGCCTTGTCCACATAGCAAGCTCCAGGCCAGCCAGAGCTACAGAGCGAGAACCTCTCTAAAAAAGTACTATTAATTTCCTTTGAAATATTCCTTTATAGTTCCCATTGTTTCGAAGTCCTAAGGAGATACATTAGAATTTACAAACGTGAATATTGATCGATCTCACTATTTTCAGTTTCATATTTGTGAATGTATCTACTTGCAGAGTTCATTTGTAACTCCAAAACCAACACCAGCCTTGCCTTTGTAGCCATTTACAGATATCGGCATTCACAAAGCACTGAAAGTTTGAGCTGCCTGATACACAGTCCTGTTCCCAGAGGAAGACTGAACAAGAAAACACTGCCTTGTGGCTCAGCTCTCACACTGTAAAAATTGTCCTTTTCATGGTGTATTTAGTGCCACATTGTTCTCTCTTTTTTTTTTTTTTTTTTTAACAAAATAGTATATTTTGTCCTGGAAATGTTCTCATTTTTATGCTTTTTGTTATTTTGCTGTTTAAACTGGTTACGGTATAGTGCTGAAGCTAATTAATGTCCCTCAGTACAAGAGGTACCATACAGTGCTACTGGCCATTAAGCACAGTGCTTTTAAGCAGAAACACACATAAAACAAGGTTACGCTGATGAGTTGATGAAAATGCTGTACCAGAGGCTTAGTGGCTTCATAGAACATAACTATTAAAAACAATGAGAAATGATTATGTAATCAACATGTAGTCCTCTTGTTGGTTTATAATTTAATTCCTTCTGAGTGATGGAATTTAAGTTGTATTTAGTTTTTTTGAGACAGGGTCTCACTGTGTATTCCTGGCTGGCCTGGAACTGGCTATGTAGATCAGGCTGTCCTTGAACTCACAGAGATCTATCTGTCTCTGCTTCCCAAGTGCTGGGATTAATGTTGTGTCACCATGCCCAGCTGTGTTTAACTTTTATATCATTTTCCTTCTATAATTAATATTGACTCATCCAGTAAATATACTTCTATAATTGTGTATGTGGTGTTTGTGTGTGTCTGTGTGTGCACAAGTGTGTGTGAGTATAGACACATATTTGTGTGTATGTGCAGAAGCCAAAGGTTGAATGTGAGGTGTCTTCCTCAATGCTCTTCACCTTATTTTTTGAGACAGGATCTCTCAGTGAACTTGGACGCTCATTAACTCAGCAAGACTAGCTGGCCAACAAGTCCCAGGGATCCTCCTGTCTCTGCCTCCCCTGTGATGGGACTATAGGCATAAGCTTTACTATGTCTATGTCTAAATAACAAGATAATATATGCTTCCCGCACTGAGTGGGAAGGAAAAGCCATCCTATACTTATATACCATTCCTCCTCCTTATACTTCCCAGCCTATCTAATTCAGAGAACTTTAGACATAGTGCTGTAGCCTGCTTCACACAAAACACTCATTTGTGCTAAGTGAGGAAGTAGAGCAAAATGATTAAGAATGTAGGATTGGTGAGATGTCTCAGTGGGTAAAGGTGCTTGCCCCCAAGCCCTCCATATGCATGCAGTAGCACATGTATACCCCCACACATACATCCACACAAATAAATTAATGTGGTTTTAAGTTTTTTTATTTATTTCTATTTTATGTGTATGAATGTTTTGCCTGCATGTATGTGAGTGTACCCATGTCCTGCAATACCCACAGAGAACAGAAGACAGCATCAGATCCCCTGGAACTAGAGTTAAGGATGACTGTTAGCAGCCATATGAGTGCTAAGAACTGAACCCAGGTCCTATGGAAGAACAATAAGTGCTCTCACCCACTGAATCATCTTTCCACGCCCTAGTCAGGTGTGGTGGCACACACCTTTAATCCCAGCACTGAGGAGGCAGAGGCAGGCAGATCTCTGTGAGTTCAAGGCCAGCCTGGTCTACATAGCGAGTTCCAGGACAGTTGGAGCTACAGGGAGACCCTGTCTCAAAAAGACCTCCCCCCCCAAAAAAAAGTGTAGGCTCTAGCTAGAGTCAGTTAGAGGGCTCTGGGCTTGAATCTCAGCTATACTACCTACTAGATTAATGAGTTCCTTTATCATTATTTATCACGTGTGTGTGTGTGTGTGTGTGTGTGTGTGTGTGTGCGCGTGCACGTGTGCGTGTGTGTGTGTGTATACATGTGCCACAGCATACATGTGGAAGTCAGAGAATAACTTTCTAGAATTGATCCAAGCATTGAACTCAGGTTGTCAAGTTTGTATGGCAAGCGTTTTCACCCTTGAGCCATTTTGCCATCCCTTTATATCTTTTTATAGTGAAATATAAACAATTTAATTACAACTAGAACTAATCAGTTATCAACATATTAGGAGAATGGAGGTGGATGGAAAAAGTGTGACTGTTAGTTATAACATCAGTGTAGTAAATGTTTTGTTTAGATCTTCTATCCCAAGGCCCTTGCATAAGTGTAGAACAAGATGGTCTTCCGTCTTCAAAGTTCCTGGCCTTGTTTTACATGAAATATATATATTTAAATGTTTCACAATTAGTCTTCTGTCCATTTTTTAAAATTATTTATTTAATAACCATATAATTAGAAGAGGCTTTTCATTACAACAGCATTGACATATTCAATAACAATTTCCAGAGCTAAGATGTGTCTCTTTCAAAATTGGCTGTAAATTTTTAGGTTTACAGTTGAATTAATACAGTTATACAATATTGTACTCGTATAAACCCTGTAAGACAAAAAATTAAATGAGATTTTAACCTTTAAAAAAGATCTCCATTTTCATTATTAAAATACACAATTTCATACAGAATAATTCATTTTCAATGCAGTTGACATTAAGATGTTTGCACAGGCATTTCTAATCTCTATATATTACTAGTCACAGTTGGTTACTTTCTGAGCTCCTTGGCATCTGAGCATGGATATAAAGTCATCAGGTGGATTTCAGTGGTAATGTTTTTCACATCTACTAATTGTTAAGGAGCAAATTTTTATGCCTTGAAAAATTATTTTTTATTTATTTATATACCCACTTCCCAGGTAGCACCCTCCCTTAGTCTCCCTCCCCACACTAGAGCCCTTATACTCTGATATCCCTGCTACTGTCTGCTGTGTTTTTGGCACCCCCAGCCATTCCCCACTACTTGTCCATCTGATGAATCTAGTCAGCCTATCTAGAGGTCTTTGTTTTAG